CTATTGTCCCCGGGACAACAGGACACTGTTAGCTGTTGAGTCCTACTTTTTAGCCTAAATTGACGTATCACAACAGAAAAACATCAGCTGTTGCCCCTGGCGAATGTCATGTTATTTGCTGGTAGGCCGATGACAGTCAACAAGGCAAAAATTGATAAATACCGATGTATAGCCAATAAATAGGTGCCTGATATAGTTTCAGGCAAAGAACTAAATAAGTCTAAGATTCTTACAGAATAGAGCTTGAACACATTGTAATGTAACTCTATGCAACCTCTGCCAGCTGTTATCTCTGGCTACTGGCCGCTAACACAGTGTAGCATTATCAGGGTAAAAAATACGGTGCATTCCATGACGTGTCGATAGTTTATTGCGTCCTTTTTTCCCCAAAAGCTTCTTGTGGGAGATCTGTGTTCTTCCCAAAAATGTTTGCTTTTTGTGAAGCTGTTCGCTGGAGCTCTGTTTATTAGCTCGTGCAAAACTGATGAGACACGACAGAAAAACATTGGTCACTGCCATCGGTGAATGTCGCAGATGACTGATGGCAGTCAACAAGGAGAGTATCGGCCTGTACCGATGTTCAGAAGATGAATCCCTAATACATACACATATTTCTACATCCTTTGGGGATGAGTTTGCAAAGTTCTTGAAGTTGTGTTGAAGGGACATTGTGCTTAAAAACACAGGCATGACATTGTGCTATTTCCGGAGGATGTTGATGGGACTGCTGACAGCGCTTTGTCCCACTGTGGCATTGAGGTGCTGGCACCTGCTTTAGACGGTGGTGCGTTTGTGTTCCGTTCACTAATCCATAGTTTTCCATCCAACCCTTGTTTTGATGCCAGCTTGCCAATTTGAGGCCGGTGGTCCGGGCACACTCTCTGCAGCAGCCTTTTATTTCACCCTCAACAAGCTCTGCCAGTCGTCCTTTAGCTCCCTCACCCCCCTCCTCCATTCTCTCTTTGAGCTTTGGTTGCGTATTGTTCGAGATTCTCAAGGCTGATAATGAAAGAACACTTTATGTTTTCAAATCACAGTAAAACAGCAGCCAAGTTATTCTGCTCAGTCATCCTAGAGCAGCGGGCCTGCTGTGAGAAGCATGATAAATGGGTTCATGTGTCTTTAATCTCCTGACCATCTCCCGTCACCGCTGCCTCTTCAGCTGTTGACCTCCGCCTCGCCGCTGACTTCTGACCTTCCTCATTGTACCTCCCTGCTCATGCCGAGTCCCCCTCACAATGGACGCCTCTCCATTTCAGGTTCTCTCTATTGATTCGATCCCGCAGCACAAAAACACATTCGTCTCCCTCCCCTCTATTAATTCTCTCATGACACCGAGCTTCTCAGTCCCCAACCATGAAATTCAGAGGCTTTTTCTTGTTGTGGATGTGTTTTACCTTGAGGAAATCACTGGGCCGAGTCCCCTGATAAGGATATATTTACCCAGCTCCAACAGTACATCACACCTGCCTTTCACGGTAGCTGCTTCTAAATCTCATTGGAGCAGCTAGTGTTCCCTTTTCCATTATACTGGACGAGTGAAGCCGATACATTGAGAAAGTATGCAGCTGCATTTTTGTTCTTGAATCTATACTTGTGTTTAAAGGAAAAAGCTCGGTGCACTGACCTTACCTGCAGTGTGAGTGTGTTTAACATGCAACCACTCACCCTCATTTGTTTCCTCTTAAACACTGCAGCCCCAGTCATTCAGAGAGGCACCCCGAGGTCGCTGCAGATGCGACAGTGGTGTGGGGACAGAATATTACAACCTCTGCTTCACTGTTGAAAAGAACACAGCCATGTCCTGTCCCCTGCGAGCTAAAGAAATAACCTTGGCAGTTGAATTGCATGTCAGAGCTCCTTATTGCCCCCCTTCTGCTCATTGCCGAGAAGTGATGCCGCTGACAGGAGCATTATCCTCCCTTCAGTACAGACCTCGGCCGCTTTATGAGACGAGAGCACTGCCCCCCCGTCCTCATTATCACAGGAGCTACAACAGCTCTGTGCATGTGTGATTTTACATATTGGACCCCTGATTAATACCAGTGTTCATCAGCAGCTTTCTAATTGCCTTTGTCCTGCTGAGGCTTAATAATTTAGATTATTATGGGAGCAACGTACGCGTGCTGCACCTGCTCAGCTCCACACAGCAGATAGACATAGTTAGCGGCTAGCTGGTGAATGTAGTGGAGCATTTAGCAGCTAAAGAGACAGATATTAATATTAGGAGTTGGTGGAGACCAAAAACAGAGCAAAAAGAGAGTGAATATTAGACTTACATTCATCAGGCGGCCAGAAACACAAGTCTAAAAGAATGATGACGTTGCTTCATAACTGCTGGATGTGTAAATAAGCAAGTTACAACAAGTTCGCCATATCAGCTGATGCCTACCATACTCCAGAAGATTTTGAAAAGACTTGAGTTTTTAAAGCTTTTGCAAAGACTGCGGATCTTGCAGGGTCACTATTTGCAAGACAACAACTGGATTCCTTCCAAGGTTATTTCCCATCCCACTCCTGGTGCAAAATATTATGCCAAACTATGACATATTAACAGTTACTTAAGTGTCTGTAAAAAAACATAACTCAAGACAAGATGAAGTGTTCTTGTGAATTTGGCATCAATATAATCAATAAAAGCCACAACTTTCTGCAGTGGAAATGGAAAAAATGCATACCGAACTGAACTGTACTGCTCGGAGGAAACAGGGTTGAAGACAAACTGTATTTACGTACGACTTTACATTTTGGATTTTGGCACCTCTGCTCGCTACCAGCCTCCGATGGTTAGCTGCGCTTTTTCAGTGGGACAAGACTGTGGGAATGAGAGGCAGACTGTTTCAAAAGTTAAGATTACTCAATAAAAGACGTGGAATCAAACACCGGCTTTTGTTCACTCCACAACTCCACCAGTTGCTCCTCCTTTTCCACAGTCCAAGAGAACCAAGACTTGATCACATTCTAGCATGTCACCTATTTCACAAGGACACCATCTGCTCAGCGTCAGCCATTATTCCTCAAATATCAAAGCCAAGCCTCCTTTGTCATCCAGTTCTTTATCTTACATCTATCAGGTTTTAAGACAGTGAGAGTATCCTGGCTGTAGAAAAACTCAGAAACTACATGATACAAAAACATCTCACACACTTTCTTTATATGTGATTATGTTCATATTCAGTTTTTCGGTTGACCTTCTCAAAAGTACGTGGAGAATATTTTCTGTTTGGTTAAGCAAGATAAAACCCCTGACGCATCATGCAGAGACACTCTCATACATTCTGTAGCCACCTATTTTTTGCTGACTCATCCGGGTCTCTGCTCAGGTAGGAGAGGTGCTGCCAATTCACCATCAACACTCCTGCTTAATGACTGATGTAGGGAGCATGTGGTGCTGATAGATGGAGGTTGTGTCTCAAGCTTGTGTGACTAATCTACCATCTGGTCAATATGCTGTATTATAATCAACATTATGAAGAAGTGAAATGCAGCAGATGGATAACTAAAATAATGTGGTCCACCCTCTGACCTTCGTCTCACACCTCTCCTTTACTTCACTCCTGACTAGACTCTAGAAATGAGGTATTTTTTCTCTGAGGTGCTGAAGATTAATGTTGAATATAAAATAACAGAGAATGCAGCGTAAGAGTGATATTTTCTACTGCATACTGCAGTGCAGAGTGTGATCATCAGGCTCCACGATGGCTGATGGATTCTCCCACTGAATCGTCAATGATTTAAAGGAACAGTTCACCCCAAAATCAGAAATTCATGTGTTTTCTCTTACCTGTAGTGCTGTTTATCAGTCGATATTGTTTTGGTTTGAGTTGCAGTGTTGGAGATATCAGCTGCAGAGATGTCTGGCCTCTCTTCACTATAGTAGAACTAGATGGCACTCGGCTTGTGGTGCTCAAAGTGCCAAAAATGCATTTTAAAAGCACAACAGCAATGTCTCTTTTCGGAAATCATGAACTGGTTACTCAAGATAATCCACAGACCTTGTTGTGTAGTTTATGTAGGAACTATTTTCTTTCCAAACTACATCTGCCAACTGTATCACTGCACAAAAGGAAGTGTACATCTTATAGAGTGTATGAATAATGAATGTAGCCACTGTGATGTCACCTATTGGTTTGTGGACTGCCCTTTTGAAGCCTTGAGTTCGGCATATCAGAAGTCACCATCTTGGGTTTTTGGAGTTAGAAGTGACCATATTCGGAAAAGATGGTGGAACTGACTGAACTGATGACTGCTATGAAGTTGGGCATTTTAACATGGGGGTCTATGGGGATTGACTGGCTTCTGGAGCCAGCCTCAAGTGGACATTCAAGGAACTGCAGTTTTTAGCACCTCCATGTTTGCCTAATTGTTCTGCCCTGGACCTTGCTGTTACTGTGCATCTACTGCTAGCTCACCTAGCACCACTGAGCTAGCATATGTTACAGCTCAGCCGAGAGATTAATGCTCACATCTCCTGCTGTGACAAACACAAGCGTCTCGTCCATGAGTAGATGCACGCCTACTTCTGCATGGTGATACGGTTGGCAGCTATAACTTAGTAGAAGGAAAATAGTTCCTACATGAAACTGCTCACAACAAGGTCTGTGGATTATCTTGAGTATCTGGGTCATGATTTCTGGAAAGAGACATTGCTGTTGAGCTTTTCAGAGGTAGTTTTTGGTGTTTTAAGCACCACAAGCCAAGTGCCATCTAGTTGTATTAGACTGGAGAGAAGGCAGACATCTCTACAGCTGATATCTCCAACACTCACAATTCACACCAGAACCCCATCCCTTTACCAACACATTGCTCATGCACTAGACATGCACATTTTTCCACTTCAAAGTGTTCCAGTTACATTCAGTTTACTGTTTTCTGTACCAGCTGTGTAGGGGATCTTTGTGTAAGACAGTATGATTAAAATCCACTTGCCAGAGAATATTTGGCATGGTGTAGGTAGGTGTATAAATAAGGGCAAAACCGAACCCTCAGTTTTCTCTTAGCAGACACCGACGAACTCTCCTACCACAATACCACGAAGATCTAATTCTGCTGAGAGCGTAAGACGTCCATCTTCATATAAATATCTCTTGGTCCTTTTTGGGGGGCTTGGCTCTGTCCTGTTTCGGGGCACTCTTTGTAGAGGTAGATGGGACCCTTTTCAGTTTTCATGAACCCTTTCGGAATGGTATAATCTCAGTGATTATTCATTTCTTCTTCTAAGCAAGTCTCGCAGCTCTAATTCAGTTTTAACTCTCCAGTCTGGCAGCAGTACATTTAAACAAATGCATCATTCTTCAAAGTTAAATTTCTATCTCTGACATTCCTCTTTCAATTAGAAGCCATTTCACTACTAAACATCCATGTATGGATACAGATGATGATGAGAACCTAACAAATGTTCCCTTTTTTCTCCCGATAGCGCTTTATTGCCTCGTATAATTATACTAATGGGGACATATAACCTGTCTTGGGGCTTTTAGAGCAGCAGCCCGGACAATCTCTTCACATGAAATATTTTCCAAAAAAGCCAGAATGAAGATCACTCAGTTTAATAAAAAGAGAGTGACAGCACCTGACTCGTGCGACAGCACCGTCAGTCTCTACCTATTCATTTTCTGTGCTTCACATGTTCATGCATACAGTGGATTTAAAATGGGGGGTATGTTTCTGTGCTGTGACAGGTGTAATATTGTAGCTCAGTGGCCCTCTGCTGCCTCGGTGCCGTAATGAATGCATTTCAGGGAATATTTCTGAATGTGTATGAGGCGTGGGTATCTGTGACTTTGCTTGGGGAAAACACTGTAGTAGTGATCACATGCATTCTGTAGAAATGCATGAAATTACTGCAAGAAAAGATGGGAATCTGGGTGTCTTTCCTGTTTTTAGTTATTACCCTTTCCTCTCTGGCTTTCTGTGAATTTGTGCTTATGATTAAGTTGCTTTAAAGCAACTGACAAGTGTTAGGGAAGCAGACACAGGTATTGTACAAACAGATGAAAAGCATAAATCACTTGACATTGTTTCTGTATCTTTTCCTTAAACTTGCACACTTCTTCTCTCAGCTCGATTGCCTTAAAACTTCTGCTTTGTGATCATTTACATCAGATTGTCAGACGCGGCCGTCTGTGTAAATCAGTATTGTTTTGGCTGCAGGCAGCAGATGAGAAGCAGCTACCTGAAACCAAGAGCCAATAGACACGACTGGAACGCCGAGGCCATAAATGAGATATAAAGGCAATCAACCGTGGCACAGCTGCTTACGAAGCCCTTCAAAACCTTTATTTATGCGTCTCCATAAAACCACTGTGACTGACTTCTCTCTCGCTAAAGGCACCCTTAGTGCTGTCATTTGCTTTTGCGGGGTGACTGTAACATTTGGTGGTTTAATGTTTAAGGCATGGGGACATTTCTTTGTATTTTTGCTGCTGGTGAGAGGTGGAGGCTAAACTACACAGGCTGCTCCAGGTTCTTATCTCTGTCTTCTGTTCCTGTCCTCAGATCGAGAAGATCATGACGCTGATTGGTGCTGGCATAGATTTTTCCAGAGATCAGCAATATGCTACACCAGGTACAGTATGATCGTCACTGCCTTTTCATCCTGTTAAATGTTAATTAGAGTTCAACAGCTATAAATTGAGTGGGTTTTTTAATATTTAAGAATTAATTACAGGCAACAGCTGAAAATTTGAGGGGAAAAGAGTGAACTCAGTCGTTTTTCTTAAGCTCTTACTGCTGATTTTTATCTGTTCCTGCTCACCTCTGTAATAAATTTCACCACTGTTGCATTATTAATCTCTTGTGAATCTTACTGCAAGCGCTCCAGGTTTGAATGTAGAAACCCTAAATAACCCATTTGGCAGTAGGCAGAGATCTCGGCAGGCAGTATTTCTGCCTACATTTCCTGAAAACCTTTAATCAGCCTAAGTATGTGGTCCACTTGGGTTTATTCTCACAGGAACTTCTCTGACATGTTACCGTACTTGTCTTGTGCTCCACACCAGAACTGCTTGGATTTGCTGTATAATCATCCTCTGAATGCTTTGATCCGTATCGGTGCCCTCAGGGGAAATCAGGTGTCTGGGACACACGGTCAATGATCCAAAAACAAATTGCGATTCAGTTAGCAACAGAGGATTGGGTACAAAAGTATAATGCGAGCAGACAGTTGGTTTTAATAGAACAGGTGAGAAGAGGGATCGACATTAGCAGCTGCACAGAGTGGTAAGAAAACACCTTTAAATAGCTTTACTCAACCTGCGGTGCAGAGAGTGGAGACCTAATGGATTCATTTAGCTTGTTGCTTGTTTGTTTGAATTTTGAAATGGAAAATGTGTAGGAACTAATGACGACTAATTTCCCTGATGTTTAAACAGAAGTTTAAACGTAGACTGGTGGACTCATATACACACAGTCCCGAAATACACACACGCACAAACAAGACCTATGCATGCATTAAATGGAGAGATGTCAGCGCGAGGGAGCTACCTGTGGACAGGCGCCCCAAGCAGTTGGGGGTTCGGTGCTTCAAGTGCACCTCGACAGTGTCTAGGAGGTGACCTGGCACCGCTCCAGCCACCAGTCCACCATACTTGGTCCATACAGGAACTTGAGGCGGCGACCCTCTGTCTCCTAACCCAAGTCCCTATGGACTGAGCTACTGCCGCCCCAATTTCATTTATAATGTTAGTAATTGTAATTGTCCAAAAAATATTGTGTAAATTATAAGAGCCATTTTAAGGCGTTAATCACATTTTTCAACAAACAAATTGTAATTTCTGTGCTGCTGAAATGTGCAGCGCTTTGCACCATGCAGTGTGAACATTGCACATTATCCTACAAAACAACTGACAAAATGAAAGTTAACGATTAACATTAAGGAAAGTAAATCTTTAGGAAATGTGCCTGACTATTACAACAGCATTTTTAGTGAGTGAACACAGTAGAATAATAATAATAATAAATTGAATGATAAATTTAACTGACTGTTATTTTTGTTGCTGATTTGGGAGGGTAGCAATGTTTAACCGACTAGTCCAGTGTTTCTCAAATGGTGTGCCATGCCATGATGCCAATCCTGGTGTGCCATGGGATTTTGTGCTAACCACACATTATTATTGCAATATTCACCTGGGCCTATACAAAAAGTTATGAATGAATCTAAATTGACTGCACCAGTATGTTGTGCGCACCCATTTCCTAATAAAGAGGCAAACTCTGGCTAAAAAATGTAGTTTAATTTAATTAAACCAATTTGTCGCGTGGGATTTCTAAGCGTGTGACACATCAGAGGCCCCGATTGGCAGCCAGTGTGAGGAATGATAACATTTAAAAGGAGAAAGCAGTGAGTGGGACAATGAATCGCTTTATTGTATGGAGCAAATTACAACAAATCACCAGCGAAGACGACCTACCACGAAAGAAAAGAGAAAAAAAAGTCAGTAGACAGTATCCCGAAAGCTACCTGTCTTATTTTTATTTACGTATGTCGTTTAAGGGTGATGACACACATTATAGAAGCTTTTGTGCACACATAAATACAGGTGTGCCTGAAGATTTTGGGACAAACAGTTTAAGAACCAGTGGACTAGTCACCTTATTATGCAAACTCCCACCAGGAACCCTGTTCTTATTTCAAAGCAGTGGTTGCTCCGTGTGTGTGTGTGTGTGTGTGTGTGTGTGTGTGTGACACCGGCCACCTAGCTTCTAAGCACTGCTCTCTAAACCTAACTCAGAAGGCACCAGGTGTATTTTTATTTTAAGACCAAAGCACCTGAGAGACACTTTACTAGATCTAGCTTTTTCACTCTGTAAAGTAATGTCTTTGTGTTAGGGATTCTGTACCTGCTCTCCTGTTATTCTTTGGGCTTTTCAAAAGCCTGTCGTCAGAGTTGATGGATAGCGCCCGGGGACTGTAGCAGTAAACCCGCACAATTGACTCCTTCCCTTCAGCCTTTCACATTATTCATCACTCACCTCCAGTTCACACTTTCCCTCAGCCACATTTTAATATATTTAAGCATTGCAGCGGCTTTGCACAAAAGTTGTCTGTCTTCTGATTTGAGCCCTGCTGTTTGTTATGCCCTGCACCCGAGTGAGCTGTTTAAATATTAACCAGCACGCATGTCAGGAGATGAGCTCATTTTGCTCTGTAGACATGAGGAAAGCTGAGACCACTGCAGTGAAGTAGTTAGCGGCCCATCACTCGCTGTATCTATCTGGCCTGAACACGCCTGAATCCACTCCTCCTCTGTATGTGTGAGCCTCAATCATCTCAGAGCCAGCGCGCCCTCAGCTCTGTCTCAATGAAGCAGCTGTCAGGAGGCCATCAAGGGACTCGCTGGAGAGGAGCCTCTCTATTTGATGCACTTTTTTTCCTCCCTACTCGCTCTGATTCAGTCCAGTGTTTGCCTCCTCTCAGTGTTGACTGGAGCAGGGATGTCTCTGGCTGATTGGCTCTGTGCCCGCAGTCTCCTGTACTTTTCTGCTCTTTGCTGATTTACTTCTGCATCAGAGTGAAAGAGATGACGGAGGAGGGTGAAGGAAACCTAATGAGTGTGAGAAAAAGAAAAAGACTGATACAGAAGAGCGACTGCGAGTAATGAGGGGTGGAGGTTCTGTAGCTGAAACGGCAGCTCGCGCTGACATAGAGCAGCCACCTGCAGTGTTTCAGAGAGAGGGAGAGAGGGAGGAGTGGGGAAGCGTGTGCAATGAGGAGAGGGAGACAGAGTAAGGGAGGAGAGAGGAATTGCAGGCAGCAGAATTGTGAACAGCCAGGACAATAGAAGGACGCCACCACGGCATCTGTAGGATTAGGTGGTCCACTCCTCAGCCCACAGAGGACTACTGAGGGGTTAGAAGTGGCTGCTGCTGGACTTGACCACATCTGAGAGACTGTACCAGACTGAGGAGAAACAGTTTGAGCACTCTCGTCTGCAGAGGAGTTCATTCTGGGGGCCAGCTATTACTTAAGTGCTCTTTGAAGGAGGTGATTGGATCCTTGACTGGATTTTTTACTCCGTTGACACATTTCTAAGCTTCTGGAGTGACCAGAAATGGGATTTATGACGTGGGAATCTCCTCTAAAACAGGATTGGTTCTGCACAAGGTTGAATGAATGATGAAAGCGCTAACAAGGGGAGAAAAAAGCTTTAAAATGTGCATTTTACACATTAATGTTAGGTTTTGATATGTTTGTTAATGTAAGTTGTCAGCTTTTTCTAGGTGGTATGTAACTTTTAACAGTGGTTGAGATGCAGTTATCCACTTAAGAGTTAAAGGTAATTTAAGTCTGATTATCACAATAGAAAATGTGTGTTTCTTGCTTTCAAATTGAGTTATATCGTACTGGTATTATGTAAAGAAATAGAGGCAGTCGTCTGTTCTTGTACAGGTTAGGCTCCCCTTGGCTCAGGCTGCTGACAGCCGTCAGTGTCGCTTTTTTTCTCAATCAATCTCAGCTCATGACAGTGGCGTTGCAAGTTTCTGTCTGTCCTGCCACTCTCCGTGTGAGCGCTGTCATGTTCTCAGGTAGATTGCTGTCTGGATCGTGCGTGGTGGATTATATGCTGAGCAGGTTGTGTCTGTGAATCGGGGATGAGCCTGTTTGGTAATTAACTGTCACCTGCTTCTTGGCTGCAAGTTTCCCAAGAACTTCCTGCGTGGCTGAAACACGTTAACACTTTATCTCTGAGTTTCTCTTCATTACAAAACTGGATCTCAATTAAATCAGCTTAATTTTTGGACACAAGATGTTACCTCCTGACATGGGACATTTTGACTTTTTTCCAAGTTGGAGATGAACTGTTGTTCAGTCCAGTGAGGCAGCGTCTTGTTGATTGTAAATGTGTTTTTGGCATGTTCCTGACTGACTGTCACAGCAGAGAATTTAATGGATATTAGCTGGTAAAGACCAGCTCACAGCCCTTTATCATTTCCCTCTCCCCTGAGATCAGGGGTACGTTAAGCCATCTTGGGTGACTGTGGTTCGGCCCCCGCTGCCCTGCGGGAGCTGACGCCCTGTCCACAGAGGACACTGTCTCCCCCGCCTTCCTGTTGCTGGTGCGCTCGGCTCTGCTGGCCGAGAATGATGTGGCAATGCCACGTCTCCTCCTCAGAGTGCCGCTGCTACCGGCTGAAAGGTTTCTCCCTCCTGAAGCGCTTTCCCCTGTCAGCAGGTGCTGCCGGCCGGCTGCTGGACCAGCCTGTGGGAGACTGGCTGGAGCACGTGGGGCTGCCGCAGTACGAGAGCAAACTACTCCTGAACGGCTTCGATGACCTGCACTACATGGTGAGTTCCCCACTTCTTTTAATGTCTAAATTGACCTTAATGCTCTTGACTGTTGCATCCACTTGTCTTCCCTCACTTTTATGATCTGTTTCCTGTTGTCTTTCACTGTCTCACTCCTGCTTAACTCCAGTTTGTGTCTTTGTGCAATAATCCAATTGACGCCACCCTCCATTAGCTGTGAGATGATCCCATTAGCTTCATCTGAAGTTCAATTAGCTGAAATCCTGTAACGACCCCTTCCCTTTTTACGATGAGTCTCACTTGTTTTTCAGCAGCTGCAAGATTTTATTATAGAAACTGTTTATTCTGAGTAGATTCAACACATAACTCAATACCACACATTACACCACATGCTTTATAAAAGTCACAATATCCTCTAAGTGATTCAGTGGCTGAAGCTTCCCTCTTGGCTCTGAGGCAGAGCATTCATCGATGTTTGCTAGATTTACACATCCTTTCAACCAGACAATATGCAGTTTGATCCGTGCTGTCAAATATTCTGTTTACGGGAACTATGATATCATTACTCCTTGTTGCATCTTGAATTAGGTTTATGCTGCTCTCAGGCTCTCAGACAGTCTGTCTCCATCTGAGGAGGCCGCTGTCGTGGCCTCTCACTTACAGTCAGTGGGCCGGCTGCCTGAGAAGCAGCTGATGCCCGGCCAGAACGGAGAGACGTCTCAGTGAGCAATGGGATGCTGTTGCCAAGCCGACAAGTTTATAGAGCCCAAAGTGTGCGACGCCACTATGAGTTGGCTCCGTTGCTTGTGTCAGTAATGAGGACTGATGGAGGAGAGAAAGAGGGACCCAGCTGGTAGGCTGAGCCGGTGGGTATGTTGGGAATGAGACTGCCGTCTTGTGTTTCAAGATGAAAACTGTTTTCTCCTCCATCAGGCGTGTCATGCATCTTCTCTTTAACACAAGAAGAGCTGTTTGCTGGTTTTCATCCCGTCCAAACACCACAGTTGATTTCACTTTTTGTGTTTGGTGAGAAACTGTGAATGTTCATGCAGGAAGACAACAACTCTCAAAATTCTTGACATGTACAATTGTATGAATTAAGTTTTTATTATTGTCTTATGCAGCTTATCTAATGTTGCAAATAATGTATAAACCAAACAAACAAACAAACCCTCCAAAACCAAGAAAAAACAATTTCATTGTCTACAAAAACATTTCCAAATCTCTGACAAACAGTTAGTATATAATACTCGAGAGATCAGAGTAAATACTAATTAAATCGTCCATTTTACCTTCTTTTTCAGGCTTTTGGGACAAAGTTAACAAACTTAATAAAACAAAATTAAACATCTATTCCAATTTTTAATCATCTGCACACCAGAATACTTTGGGCCATTTCATCTGACTAATTTAATCTCAGCTAACTTTTAAAAATAATTAAAGTTTGTACAACACAAAAGAAAACAATTTTAAAGATAAGCTGTGCAGGATTTTCACACAGTGGACACAGTGCCAAAAAACGCAGCAAGCTGACAAAATTAGAGTAAATCTGGGGCGGGCTTTCGCTTTTGCTGGTGAGCACTTTAAGGAGAGAATGGGGATGAAGAGTGAGGTGGAGTTAGATGCCTGTTTTCTGTTGGACGGGGGGGTGCTAGCTGTCAGCTTGGTTAGCTTGAAGGCTGCACGATATGCTAAAAACATCATATTGCGATTATTTTGGCTGATATTGAGATATGAGTCACGATTTTAGTGGTAATGGTACTTTTTGCATTTCATGTTCACTGAAAAAAAAACAAGAGCAGGAGCATCTCTGTATCACAACAGTGCTGCATCTGTAATGGTATGTTTTGACAAATTTGAACTGTATCAAAAAATTTAGATATTGCACTTGGCCATTTTGTGATTCAATCATATTTTGAATAATTGTGTAGTATCAGCTTTTCCATTACATCAAATGTAACGTTCCTACAGTAGCAGCCTGCAGGGAGCATAAGAGCAGTGTAGGGAGGAGTTTCAATGATGTGTTTACAAACAGTAAAAATACCCTCACTGTATACCTTTAAAAAAGAGATAGAAAAGATGAGATGGTATATGAGCCAGTGTAGCTCCATTTCTGTTACAGCCCTAAAGGTAGAAATCCTCCACAGTATACAACAATCCCTGTATTCAACTCTATTTTTATGACCAATTCTCCTTTAAGCCAGACCCATGACATGTCTGTGGTCTTATGTTGCTTTAAATGAGCTGTGTGTGACATTCAGAGCATATCTATCATTCAGAGTCTGGTTCAGGATTGTCTGCACACAGTTCTCAACACGATGGTGGCTGAGCTGGAAGTGAGCATCTAACAGTGCTACCTTAATAAACAGTGCTAAGAATGACAACAGTGCTGACAGAGCTAACATCAGCTGTTCTCTTTCACACACGTAGCACACAACAGTAGATTGTTTGTGTCAAAACAGCTGTCACCAACTGGAAATAGTGTGGTTCATTTGCGGAAGGCACCTAAGGAGAGTTTGCAGGTGGCAGGACATGACGTGGATTACACCGCAGTCATGTAGCCGGTTTGTAATTTCGTCCTAAGCGACACAGTTTCTTGCCACTCCTTTAATTTGTCTGATGATTTTGGCTTCGGACCTCACTGACAGAAGTTCCCAAATCTCGTCATCTCTCCAGTGAGACAGTTTCTTGCCGTCTTTGTGTAAATGAACCTCTTTCTTCAGCTGCGTATGTTTGTTTTCTTCAGGAAGCATCATCAACACGCCCACTTGCTTGCTGTGAATTCTTCTGACCCTTACCTGCTCTATTCACATATGGGCTCAATCGAACATTACGCAGACTTTGTCCTAGGGAGCTGGCAGGATAAAAACAATAAAATGTCCAGTCCAATTGATTTGTACATTAAACGGATACAGACTGCGGGTAATATCTAGCTAATTTCAGGTTTGCAATGCATGTGTGAAAGGGCCTGTTTCACCTGGGGAGAAACCAGAGGGTGGGCTCTATGCTTCTACAATGACACCGTCCAGATATCAGCGGTAACCATCACATAAATAGCCAGTGGGATACACATGCATGTGCGGTCGATACGTCCACACCAACAACAAACAAAGATGCCTGGATTACGACACACACAAAGGGAGTGTGACTTCATTCTGTGCTCAGGACGCCATTACACCACTATATCTTTACATAGCATATAATGTTTTGCTGCTGTGTTAATGCCCTGTAAGTCACATGCTGTGTAGTTGGCAATGTCATCTTGTCAAAGGCACACTTTTAACCTCAGTACTCCGCATTACTCCTTGATTCGGTCACACAGTGTTAAAACCTGTTATCCAGCAGCGTGTTGTATCTTCAAAGGCATTTTCATGATTTGACAAGAGGTTTTCTGTCTGTGTGGAAAGATAAAATGTTTGCCCGGGGTGAACCCAATGTTTCAATGCATTATTTTTCACAGACTATGAAATTGTAAATTTAGGGCAGCCGCCTCAAAAATCATGACAACAGCAGTCATGAGCTGAACCCAACCCACAGTGAGATGAATAGAATATGGAGTATAGTGTGTAGAGAAGGGCGTTAAACTTCATGCAGCCTAATATGAGTCACCTTTCAGTTAATTCAATAGTTATGAAGTTACATTAAGTCTTTTTTATAGGGTGTTTTAGTTGCTTTGTCCGTCCTCTGGCTGCATATTAAAGTTAGAGTATGGCAGGTGGCTCTTTGGTGTTGTTTGGAGATAAATTATGCCCATTATGGTTTCTTGTTAATTACAGTGTGTTAATTAGACTTATAAATATTGTATATTAGGACTTCTCGGTCCCCAGAGAGCAGATTTTGTCTTACTAAGCAACAATGTTTAACTGTTATGGATACCATTACAAAGCTAGAACCTTTACACAAATTAAAACCAAAATAGATGTGAGTATTTCGTGCTCTTTATCTTATAGCTGTAGACCCCAGCTGTGTCTGACTAATTTCAGCATACACTGATACCTGCATGATACTTTAATCTCCTTTACATAACCTGAGAGGAGAGCATTTCCACATTTATCTGCCTCTCTCCTTTTCATCCGGTGTCATCAACACCCATGTTTAATTCTGCGCCGAAGCCTCTGAAGTTACTCTCCAGGTTTAATCTTCCTACTGTCTTTTAGTCTTTCACACCGTCCTCAGCCCTGAGTACTCGCTCTTTTTCTTTTTTTCAAAGTGGAGAGCTGGCAATTTTTCTATCTTTAAACATGGCTTACAGACCACCTGGCTTCCTGAAATCTCCAGAGGATTTGGGAAAAAAAGCTGCAGGCTTTAAACAGCGTGTCCTTCTCTCGGTAAATGTTGACCTTTTAAGAATCACAAATGGGTCTCATTTGGAAATGAGATTTGCCCTCTGAGTCACCTTGTCTTTGCTAAACTTTTCTAATTGTGTTAAATGTGCTCGTGTGCATTGAGGTGGATAGAACAGGAACAGGTTTCATTGTTGGCACGGTTACCAGTCTGATTTCATTAGTAGCACCAGACTCGAGGCACCGCACATTTATGGAGCCCCGAAATGTTCAATACTGAATAAATAAATAAGGAATTATGAAATACATTATTGCATTAAAGGGTCAGTGTGTAGATTTAGGGGGATATATTGGCAGATTGGCTTTTTTTCCCAGTTTATAATCATCAGAAAAGGGCCATTCACATTTTCACATCAGCCACCATAGTCAGCAGCGCCCCTGCAGATTTTTATTGTGAAACTGCTTTATTCAGTTTTTATGGGTTTAAATTGCCTGGTCTGTTTGTTTTAAAAGAGGAAGAGACCTTTGCGGATAATATGGCTCCTGGTAAAACCTTCCTTAATGTCCGGGGCCAGTAGTACAGAGCACCTTAAGTTTGCTCCTTAAGTATGACGCCTTACATGAAATACCTTGCCAATAACTGACAAGAAAAGTCCCATTGCATAAAACCACAGAGCACTCGTTAATTATAAAGGGGCTAGAAGAGTGCAGCTTCAGGAAGTTGAGTGATAAATCCCAGATGGTCATAATCATAAA